TCGGATGTCGATCTAAGTGTCCTGTCTGAGAAGCGCATCCTACAGGGCGATCATTGGAGATCAGCCCTCGGCCACTCCATTTCGGTTGAAAATCAGCACACGGCGGGGACACAAATTTCATGCTGGGTATTCTCGGTAACCTCTTCAAACTGAAGCTCGTTGGAAATTGACCGAGCCGTGTTGTTATAGCATGGGAAGGGAAATATTATATTGATTAACTAATTAGACAAGGAATGGTTGCAGTAGCTGGATCAATTAGTGGGCACTGGGGGATATGCGGAAGCGGTGTAAGTCGAGGAGAGAACGAAAGCCAAAGCATTTTCATTCCAGGGGAAGGATAGGATAGGATTGCAATGCAATGCAATGCAATGGTGACTGAAAGCACAGGTAGAGGGACGTGCACGTGAATGCTTGGAAATAATTGGTTAGTGGTTTCAAATCGGAATATGGGTTTAGGGATTGATTTGCCATGCTTGGTACAGGTGGTGTAGTTCTCAATGGCCATGTACATTAGGGGAACGAGTAAAGTGAATGTGATATGTGGCAATTAGTCATGGTTTATCACATAGCATCATGTTAGAAAGTACATGCGAGAGACAGTGTTACGGACAACACACAGTGTTACGGACAACACTTGCTAGCTAAATTCAAAGCAGACATCTGATTAACAAGGTGAGTGTAAAAGGGTAAATTCTACGCCTTACGTATTCTTTTAAGTATTAAGATTTCAAGTATTTTGGCGATGTGGTTACTGTTGTTTGTGAATGTTTCTGGCTGATTATATGTGTTTTGTTTGTGCTATGACTTGAAGTGGATGTGTATTATTTACCTTAAAGCTTTATGTTATGGTTAATTATTAGAGTTTAAGAAGCAAGTTCCTTTTAAGAAGTACTTCACCTTTCAATGAAGGTGAAGTCGTTTTAAATGTTTTTGGTCACTAGCGCCAGTTCGTTGCCATTTAAGATATTTAAGTTCAGCAGCAGTTATGCTCTTGAGATATTTAAGTTGAGCAGCAAGTATGCTCTTGAGAATCGTGGAAGAAGAGCCTTCCACGATAAGTTTAAGTTTAAGGAAAGCCTGGAGGGCTTCTCATACGTATGATTTGGGCAACCGGACTAGCTAGTGAGGGATCCCCGTGTCAGTCAAGCATTTAAGTTAAGATTTGAGCTTTAAGAGAGGAGAGTAACTTCAACTCCCTCAAACTTTTAAGAGTGGAACTACAAACAACTTCCACCAGTTAAAGTTAGGTGGTTAAGTAAAGTACTCAAGTATTAGAAGTATTAAAACGTAAGAGCGTAGACTGACCCCAACTCACTCACCAGTTTGAAGAGGAAGAGATGGATGAGCAGTTAGAGAGACGGTTCGAGGGAAAGCAGCTGGAGGAGGATGGTACAAGCATCACAGAGGATGTCTAGTCAAGGTTATCAGTCAGCAGCAGCATTTGAGTTTAATTAGTTATTATACTTTATGATTATGAGTATAGACTAGAGATCAGGTAGAGACTTTTAATGTTTGAGTTTGCCCAAGTGTCAGGGATTCGAGTTTAAGTAATGACAGTTGTTTTCAGTATTTATTAAAGTTATTATGAAATGTTTCCGCTATTTTTCTAAGTATTTTTTTTTAGTTCTTATTTTACGTCAATTTTTATCAAGGGTGTTTTGGTAAAAGTAGTGTCCGGCCGAACTAGGGTGTTTGAGTTCCCCACCACCGTTTTCCAAGGCCGATACCACGAGTTTTGTATCGGGTCCGTGTTTCATCAGCTTTAGTGTTTTTTCTTTCTCTTTTTCCTTTTTATTGAGCATGATCACAATTGAACCCAAACATATCGGTATCCTAACTTGAACACAAATCATTGCCTTTGCCCACCATTTTGCAGCCCATCTCGAAATACTGTGGGAGGAATCCTAATTTGTTCTCCACCACCGTTTCCCAAGGCGGCTACCACGATTTTTTTATCGGGACCGAGTTTCATCCTCTTTAGTGTTTTTTACCACCTTTTCCCAAGAGCGCTACCACATTTCGCACCATTTCGCAACCTAACTTGAAACACTATTGATGGAATCCTAAGTTGTCCTCTTCCACCGTTTGTCATGGCCGCGACCAAAGATCTATACTAGATATGCTCTGTCCAATCATCAGCATCGCTCACCAATGCCACTACCGAAAATCCCCCTCCATAGTTTCCCAATGCCACTACCGAAAATCCATACCATATCTACTCAATATTGGAGAGTTTTGTATCGAAACCGAGTTTCGTTCGCATTAGTGTTTTTTTATTTCACTTTTTTTCTTTTTGTTGAGCATGATCACAATTGAACCCAAATCCATGGGTATCCAACCTAACTCGATCATGTCAAAGTGACTTGAAACCGACTTTAGCATTTATAAATTTCTCTTTTTTCTTTTTGTTGGAAAGACAATTGAACCCGAAATGACGAGTGTTGTATTGTGAGAGAGCTTTATCCGCGCGCTTTTGTAGTTGGCAGGTTAGACCAAGTATTAATTTGTTAAAAAAATTGTTCAAAGCAAGTTGAACACGTTGTTGACCAATTTTAAATAGAAAACGAGTTTTGTACGCTTTATTGTATTTTTAAGTTCTCATTATCCTTTTCGTTGAGAAAGACAATTGAACGCTGACCCATTGTTGACGCATTTGGTATCGAAAGCGAGTTTTATCCGCTTTGTAATTGACAAGTTGAGTAAACTGTGAATTTGTTAAGACTCCCGATCAAAGCGAGTTGAACATAGTGTTGAGAGTTTGGGGGTCATGAGCGAGTTTTATCCGCTTTAGTATTTTTTTTATCTTTTTCCTTTTGGCTGAGAATGACAATTGAGTCCAAACACATGGGTATACAACCTAATTCGACCAGATCAATGCGACTTGAACCCGATATTACATGGTTTCGGTGGGAGCGAGTTTTATCTGTTTTTGTAATTGGCGGGTTGTGTCAGGTGTGAATTTGCCCAAAACTTGGTTGAACCTAGTGTTGACGAGTTTTGAGTCGGTATCGAGTTTTAGCCTTAGAATGTTTTTCATTTTGCTTTTTCCTTTTGTTTGAGAAAGACAATTGAACCCAAATCCATGAGTACCCAACCTAATTTGACCCGATCAATGCGAGTTGAAACTCATCAAACCTGCAATCGGTCCAAAAATTTCATAAAGGAGAACCACAATTACCTCAAACCCCCCAAAAAAGCCAAAAGATTACGACTATATTTGGCCCAAATTTTAGAAGTTTTATGATACGAGCACGGACCCGGTAACCGTAGTTATCAAAGCAGGCCCGGCCATGGGCCTGTGCTGGCAGGCCCGCCAGCACAGGGCCTCAAGCAAATTGGGGCCTCACTAAAATTAATAAGAATAGGATTGGATACATAGTTTTACCACGGGCCTCCTTTAAAATAATATAAAAAGCAAATAATTATATGATAAAGCCCATTAGATAATTAACAACGTTGGGCCCAAATTGAATGGCAGGCTTTAATTATTGTTCATTGTTTTCCTTTTCAGCTTAGTAATTAGTACCCGACCATCTAGTAGATCACACACTCCCATCAACGATAAATAGGGGATAATTAAATCAAAGTTACATGTATTTAATATTTTCCCGTAACCACACAACTCAAGTTAGCAACGATTAAAAAATGGAATTACTTATAAATATTAACAATATATTTAACTTGTGATCTAAACTCCAATCCAAATAATTTACTTCTACTCATTTAATAATATATGTTTGTTCTTTGTTTGTTCCTCTTTGTTGCTCTCCTCTTGAGATCAATTGAGTTCTCCTAATATATTTAGGAGTATCCAATTAATTGACTAATTTTCTGTTGAGTTACTATGTGGGTACTTTTGTTTAGATTTTGTTTCATTCACTCTCTCTATTATTGAATTTTCAATTTATCTTATTGTTTCAACTATCATCCCATCATTTCATCAATAATCATCATTCTATGAATAATGACTCACCAACAATTGTAATTAATCATCTACTTTCATCTTCAAGTGTCGATCATACTTGTGAAATTTATTATCCTAATTTTATTTTTCTACTAATTATAGCATCTGTGGAATTTGAATTATGAAGTTTAAGCGCAATGTAATTTTCTATTTCGTAACCAATATTATAATTTTTGTTTTATGAAGTTAAAAAATATTGAGCCACATCTTATTTTTTGAACAGGGCCTCTATTATTCATGGGCCGGCCCTGTATCAAAGTAACGCAACTCCAAGAACGAACAGAAAAATAGATTTTTAGGGGGTTTTGTTTGTTTGGGATAGAACAAGGGAAATATCAATAGTCATCAAAGTCTGCCCCCCACTCATAGGCAATTCCTCCTCTATTTATAGAGGTTACAAAACAATGTATCTACCCTTAATTAAAGCTAAAAGTCATTTCTTATCAATTAAGGAATTCAAATACCAAAAGGGGAAAAAATAAATTAATAATCTACTCAAAAGGGAAAGGAAATAAAGAAAGGATCCGCCTAAATGGGAAAGGAAATGAAGCAAGAATCTTCCAAGAATCCGCCCAAAAGCAATGACTTAGTCCTAAGTAATTCCTTTCTTCCTTCTGCTGAGTTGGACCCTTCTTCTTGGACTCCAATGTTGGTGACTCCAATGAGGGGTTTTGGATCGCTCTGGAGGATCACATCATTTTAGGTTTCAAAAGTTGAAGCCAAGCCAAACACCTCTAAAGTTCCGCTTTTTAAAAAGCTAAAGTTTTTCGTAACTTAAAAGCAGAAGCTCCGATTTGAAAATACAAAATTGTCATTACCATATATTATTCTTTTCTAGAAAACATAATGTTCTTTCATTATCATTATAAAAAAAGTAAATTGAAAAATAGTATTATGTAATATGAATTAAATCTAATATGATTCATTCTAAATATTTTTTATTTTTAGAATTTGTATTCATATTAGAAATCTATTTTCAGTCATTTTACATTACCTCTTATATTATAAAATAATCCTGATAGTTTTTCAGCTAAACCGTCTCGCTTGGATCTCTGACATTGCCAAACATCGAGGTGAGAACATGGGTTGCGATATTTCCTTGAGAGTTCAATTACGAGGGGGGGGGAGGGGGAGAGGTTGGATTTAATGAATTTGTTAAGTTCTGTAGATTCTAATGTGGTGACATATGGGCCTTGTAGGCTCGTGTGGTCACCCAATCCCGACGCAAAGTTTTCTGTCAGCTCTATGTATAGGTTCTTTGTGAGCAATCTTTTCCCGGGAAGGCCTGAGTTTCCGGCTGACTCTGTGTGGAGGAAGCTGATCCCTTCCAAAATCAACGCATTCATGTGGATTGTAGCACACAAGAAGATCCTTACCCTTGATATTTTGCAGAGAAGGGGATTGGCCATTGCTAACATATGTGTTATGTGTTGTAAGGAGGAGGAATCGGCTGATCATTTGCTTGTGGATTGCGAGTTTACTAGTGGCGTGTGGAACGAGCTGAAGAAGGCGCGTAGCCTTACTCTTACCCCGAATAGAGACATAATCACTACCATTCGCTCATGGAATGCAGATTGTCCTACCGACCTCAATGGATGGATTGTGTATTGTGCCCTTCATTCTATTTGTTGGCAGGTGTGGCTTGAGAGGAACCAACGAACATTCAATGATTGTTGTCTACCACCCACTGCTGTTTATAAGAAGGCTATGCATGCTGCTGTGGAATGGCTAGTGGCTTTTGGAAAAATCAGCAGAGATCAAGCCAAGTGGTGGTTAAGAACTTATCTTAATGTTTAGCAGGTGATGCTGTTACAGGGAGCTGGATGGTGGAGGTGGGCTGTGAATGATCAGCGACGGGCTGGGGGTATGTGGCCGCGCAACCGCTTTCTTTGCATCTTTTTTTCTGGGACGTTGTATCCCTGCCCGCTCGGCGAGTTTCGTTGGGTATCTGCTGTCTTTTGTGGTTATTTTGTTCTCTGTTTTTCTGGTTGCAGTGGCTTCTTGGTTTGTCCGGCAACTTTGTGTGTGTTTTTTTAATTTTTTTCATCCTTTTTTGCTTCCCTTTGTCTCGTTAGTGTCTCTTGCTCGGATTGCACTGCTTGTGCTCCTGTTTTTTCTTTTGTTCAGTTGTTGTTTGACGCGAACTGGGTCTTGTTCTCCTTTTTTCACTTTTAATGCAACTATCACCATTATAAAAAAAAAAAAAAAACACTCAACATTTTTTTTAATATTTTTTGAAAAGATCTAGAGAAGTTATTTCATTCTGCAAAAATTATATTAAGATCAACTATTAGCTGTACAAATTGAAACAATAGCGTCATGAAAGAAGTTTAGATATAAATAATATATTCGACGACCTTTCTACCTTATGCAAGTTTATGCTATTGTAAATAATAAATCTATAAAAAAATAATTAAAGATAAAATAAGATTACTTTTACTTTTGGGTCAACATTACAACTATTACTCTTTAAAATTACTCTTTAAAATACTTATTTTTCTGATACGGGAAGCGATAGCAAAGCGAGCTTTTGCTAGTAAGTCTCATTTAATAACCTAACAATCATTCGAACTTCGAAGAACTTTCAGTCTCTGTCATTTGTCAACATTAATCCTCATGAACTCGAGGTAAGACTTCCCGTTCAATCTTCGAGCAAAGAACTCCTTGAAGTAATCCTCCACCGGAACTTGCTGAAACGCCGGTGGATTTCGTGGCCCGACGAGGCTACGAGCAGGCCCCAAAGTACAATCCAACTTGCAGCTGTAGAACGTTGCAACTGAGAGCCTCTCCCTTGTGGAATTCACTGCTGCCCTGTGTTCAATGCTCCGATAAACTCCATTGCTCACGATCTGCAAAACCCCATCGACGACAACAAAGTACTTGCATTAACAAAGAGTGCCATTTGCATAAACTGGACTGCTGACATAAAATGAGCTACGGTATACCTCCATGATGTCCCCGACGTTAACAACAAAAGCGTCTGGAAGAGGTTTGATGGGAACCCATTTCCCGTCCTTACGAATCTGCAGACCTTCGGTCTCGTTCAGCTGGTACAGAATCGTCAAGGCATCAGCATCAGAATGCGGAGTAAATCCAATGGTCTTGTTGGGTTCGGGACAAGGTGGATAGTAGTTCATCCTGATTGACTGGACTCCATTCGTGAACAGGTCCTCCATTTCATTGACATCCATTCCTAAAGCTCTTGACATGTGACTCAGAATCTTCAGTGCCAGCTTTCTCATCTCCATAGAGTAAGCTTCTACCGTCTCTCTGCAGAATTGCAAAAACACACACAAAAATGCAATTGCCTGAATTGTTCATACATCAGAACATCCAAGAGATTCATTCATTCATTCATTCATTCAACCTGCACTTGTGAGGGAGCTTGTCGAATAGCTCGTTCTGTCGAATATGGCGAGGCAGAGTAGTTATGTAGAACATATCATTCCAGTCTAGCTTCTGCTCTTCCGAAACCACAAACAGCTGCCCGAAACCCTCGTGGTTATCGGGCTGCTGCCACAGTTGCTTCCTCTTCTTCTCCTCGTATGGGAGTTGGAACAGATTCTCAACCTCAACCCTCAATTTCTCTAGCAATGTTCTACTAACTCCATGATTCACAACCTAATTTCAGTAATCCCAGTAAATCCTAACCTATTCAGTTCGAGCAAGCAAAACAACATCTACATGGACAAAACTTGAAGGGAGTAGATTCGATTGTGGTGTTTACCTGGAAGAATCCCCAATCTTTGCAAGCAGAGTGCAAATTCCCCAACTCAGACTCGGAATCCATTGAACTTTCGTCACCGGAAGCAAGTTTTTGAAGATCAATCACTGGAACCGTCCAATCTAGGTCACCGGAGACGACGAGCGGTTCGATTTGGGGCCTTTCGTACCTCGGAGGAAGCTTTTCATTGCATTCCTTTGCGAGTTCTTGAACACTGGGCACGATGAGTGATCTCCCGAAGTTGACTGGTTCGACTGCCGGTGACGACGGCGACGGCGACTCCATGACCGTCGGCTTCCTCTTCTCCGAGTTCTGAGAAGTGACCGGAGCGGCGAGAGTTCCGAGGTTTCAAACGAATTGACAACCGACTTGGGAAAGTGGAAATCCATCTGCCGACGACCGATGACGACAAACGTTTATTGCTAATTGTTTATTCGGGCGGGGATGACGTTGCATTTGCAGTGATGATGATCAAGAGACCGGTGGAAACGTGGGCCAGGCCCAGTGTAATCGAAAATTGAGGCTCGTGGTTATTAGAACTGATTTTCGGGCTTTCCCAACTAATGGGCTGGGCTTTCTCAACTGAACTTTGGGCCTCCGGATCTTTCTTCCGGCCCGACTGTTCGGCTTCCTGGCTCCACTTACCGTCCACCTTTTAAGCCACTGTCTCCTCCCTCTCGAACAGAATTCCTGATTTCCCACCATCTTCCAATTCCAACGAACCGTCTCCAGGAAAAAAGAAAACTCTCCGATAGAAAACAGCAGCCAAGAAACGCCGACGGCAACGGCCACGGCCACCAAGCGATCGCGGTATGGCGGTGGAGGATTCGCAGAAGACGGCGGCACCGACCTCCGAAGAGGTCGCCAATGCTAACCCTAAGCCGCATGGCGACGACGTCGCCGGGAGCGACGTTGTGCCGGAAGGAGGAGAGATCGTCGGGGACAGTGACGGCTCGTCCAAGAAATCAAGCGCCGTGCCTTATCAGCCGCACCTGCTCGAAAACCAGTGGACTTTCTGGTTCGACAATCCATCCGCCAAGTCCAAGCAAACCGCCTGGGGGAGCTCCATGCGCTCTATTTTCACCTTCTCCACAGTGGAGGAATTCTGGAGGTGACGATTCTTTCTTTTTCATTTCTTTTTTGGCGTTGATCGATGTGGAACGGCCTGATCTTGATGCGGTTTCACGAGCTTGTTGTCGGTTTATGGCTTTGGTTGAGCTTGATATGGTTTTGGAGGAGAGGAGATTGGGGCTTTGGTGCTTGGGTCCGTTGTATGACGAAAGTTGATAATGTGGAGTAGATTTCTTCGATGCCTTTGTGTCAATGCTTTTTTCTTTGAGCCACTGTATGATGGGGAATCTTGAGGTTCTTTATATGGTCTCTGCTTATGATATCGTTTTTGGCTTGGGTAGTTCATAAACTGAAGGATTATCCTCAGAAGAATTTGGCTCTAAGTGTTACCCGGAACTCTTTTATCTGTAATTCGGTTGCTTGTGTCCTTTAATGTTATTCCTCGCCTGTGCGTCAGCTAAATGCACTGGGGTTTACAGCCTATAATCCTTCATATCTTCTGTGTCATTTTGTATATCTTAGGGGCCTTAATGAACTTATGCTTTGGATTGTTACTGGGAGCACATTGATTATAACTTGTTTGCACTCCATTTGCGGAGAAACGAATTGGGTTGGTTAGTTCGAGGACTTGGTCTCAGTTGTTGTGAACCTGTTGTTTTCTACATCTCAAGGTACTCGAGTTTCGATAGATGACTTCTCTACTAGCTTGTAACTTTTACCCTTTTTTCTTAGAGGCTTCAGCGTAAAAGCCACCATTGGTTGATGTTTTCATACAGTGCTTTGCATTCTTTAGTAGCTTTAAATTAGGGTACCTGATATATAGTTTCTGAGAAAACCTTGACAGCTAGATACCTGCTCTCCCTCAGTTGTTCTGTTTAGTGTTTGTTCACCGCAGTGAAGCCTTTCCTGTTCTTTTCTTTCCCAGTATATCTTAGTTATTATCATAATACTGACAGCCTTCCCGACAAGGGAAACAGCTCTCAATTGTTTAACTAACTCATGGGAGAATAGGGATAAATTAGTGCCGAGTTATTAATGATAAGGGAGAGCTATTCTCGGAGCAACCCAACAGCTCTCCAACAGCTCTTTCCACTTTGTTGTTTCTGTTCCTTACTTCTAGTAGGTAGTTGCTGGTGTACGTAGGAATAGCAAACTCTGTTTCAAACACTCCTGTATATATTCACTAATTATCAATGAGAACAGATGGGATTCACAATACACTTTCAATTAAGTCACTAGAGCATATCATGCTTGCCTTTTTCCCCCTTGTAATGCTTTGAATAGAGTGGATTTTGTTGGTTCATTTGAATACTGGTATTTGTATATAGCACCAAGGAATCTGTTTGGTAGAGAGGCCCATTTCTGTATTTATTTTTCATGTAAATCATATGCTTTCTTTTTCTTTCTTTTGGATCTTCTTAAGATCCTAAGCCTCTATGCTGATTGACATTTTTATCTGGGGTTCAGTGTCTACAACAATATTCGTCATCCAAGCAAGCTCACTGTGGGAGCAGACTTCTACTGCTTCAAGTCCAAGATTGAGCCGAAGTGGGAGGACCCTATTTGTACTGGTGGAGGAAAGTGGACTGTGACTTTCGGGAAAGGGAAATCTGATACCAGCTGGCTATACACAGTAGGCTTTTAATCAGTATTTATGTCTCTTCAGTCTGGCAACTGTGTACATCATGCAGCCTCTCATTTACGCCATGTTATGTTTAGCTGCTAGCAATGATTGGGGAGCAATTCGAACATGGAGAAGAGATTTGCGGTGCCGTCGTCAATGTGAGGGCTAAGCAGGAGAAGATTTCTCTTTGGACCAAGAATGCTTCAAATGAAGCCGCTCAGGTATGCAGAAGATTATATAACATATATGCTCATCACGTCTTTATTTGTTAGTGGATAATCAATGCACAATGTTGCGTGTAGCTGAGCATCGGGAGACAATGGAAGGTTTTCCTCGACTACAATGATGTTATTGGGTTCATATTCCATGTAAGTATGGTGTTTACAAATGGTCTCTGTATCTTTTCACCTAAGCAAGCAAGTCGAAGTGTGTTTGACTCTGAATCGCTGCTGTCATTTTCAGGATGATGCAAAGAAGCATGACAGAGGTGCCAAGAATCGCTACACTATCTGAGCTGTTGAATCTCGTCTCTGAGAGCATTGAAATCCTGTCATGGAAGTCTCTTTCCTGGCTTGGGGACAATTAGGGGTAGATTCTTTTGTCATGTGACTGAAGTTCCATTTCGTGTCGTAATTTTGGCTCTCTTACCTTGAGATGCAGTAGTTTGCAGGAAGTAGGGATATATATAGCTTTACAGAGTTCCAACTTCCATGCAACCAAATTTTGGCTTCAAATATAACGGTCGCTGTTGTTTGAAAATACTCAGACCTTGTTCTTCTAAACTACCAGTACGTTATAGTTTTGAACACCGAATGAAACACAACTAGTTCATCCTTAGATCGGCCAAAGACCGATTTAGCAGACGCTTAAATGTAACTCTTTTAAACCGCTGATACGGTATGGTTTCAAACACCGAATAAAACATAAACTACATATTATCGTCCAGTAATATATTAGCGTACCAAGACAGTTCACACCGTAGTAATTCTTCAACCCAGTTGCCCACAACAACAGCAAATCGTGCGCACTACAAAGAACCACACCTATTCTATAACTGACGTCTACAAAATTATACTCATTTACAATCCAAATATCCCTTTCCTCTCTGCGAAGGTTAATTATTAACAGGCAGCAGTTCAGGAAGAAGAAAAACATGGAACACAAGCACTTGCTTAACTGATGTGGGTTTTTTCAAGGCAACAGCTCGCCGTCCTCGACATCTCCATCTAACAACTCATCGACATTGTCGGTCTCATCGTCCTTGAAGAACAGACCTAATCGCTCCAGCGGGCTCAAGGGGCTTCCGAACGCACTTCCTCCACCCTCTCTTCCTCTGAAAGCTTTCTCACACCCTCTTGGACTGACTAACAGCAGCCTACACCCAGATAGATCTTCGAGTTCTTTCAATACCTCTTGGCTCGCCTCAATCTCAACACTTCTCTCAACCTGGAATTATCATATTTTTTTCAACGAAGGAAACCAGTCGTGTTGTGATGCGACGAAAAGACTAGGATTTCGATTATAAAGTGCAAGCCAAAAGGTAGCAAGAATCAATCACCTTCAGCACTGCAACCCGGGCGGCTTCTCTTTCCCGTTGCCTTTGCTCCTTCAATTCCAACTCCTGTTGCCTCTGGGAGGCAGCTTCAGCTTCTTTGATCTGAGCCTCAATTCTTGCTTTCTCTGTATTGATAAAAAGGGTAAGCAAAACTTAATATAAGAAATTTTAGGACAAACAAACAGACAGCTCACATAGTAAAATTAAAAGGGAACTAGCAACTACAAACAAATGACACAAACTCGTGCCATCATCAACGCATATGAAGCTGTTTCATCGAGGAAGCCGAAAGAAAATATTCAAAATCAAGAAAAGGTGCACAACAAAGATAGTAAAAAGGAATGCAGTGTAATTTATATAATTGTTTGATTATAATACACAAAAACAACAAATACCTTCATGGTGCATCCTTTCCAATCTCTCCTTTTCCCGCTTCATCTTTATCGATTCAGCCTTATCACCCTGAACAATGGGATGTTGGGATTTACCATGAGCGAAGGCTTACATTACAGCAAGCAAATGCTTGTTCAGGACTTGTACACAATGGGCACAGGAAAAAAGAAAAGTGAGGAGGGAGAAGAAGAGACTAGGAATTACATGATCAAGAAGTGTTTTATTCTTTGCCTTCAGAATTGTGTATGCAAATCGTTCCTTAATTATTGCAGCACGTAGGGCTCTTTTTGGTGACATTTGGTGTGCTTCAACTACATCAGATCTCCAATCTAAGCACAAGCCCAAAACACAATTTAGAGAAAGATACAGAAAGTAATCAAATAAAAAAAATTGATAATTCAAAGACCAGAAGTCACGCAGACCTTCTCCAGAAGTTGCATCAGTAATAGGTGTTACAAGCAGCGAACTAGGGCATACATTGTCTTCATCTGACGCACTCACGGTACCTTTTTCAAGTTCCATCACACAATCAGTCACCAAAAAGTGGCGAAATGGATGATTTTGGATAGAAAAGGGATAAAGACCTCACCATCAGAATCTGGATCTGACCTGCTCATCTGGGAAGTCGAGATAACATCTGGCGGACAGTCCTATTCAAAGTGCACAATAATATGTTATGCATTGACATTGCATGGCCACTAAGAAGACAAAAAAAGAAGATGCAATAGCAAAAATTTGTGTCGTACCATTCTTCTAGCATCAGTGCTTTGGGAGAGATCTCTGCTAAATGATCCATCGCTGGATGCATCTGAAGCAAGACGTACACAGAGATAATCATCAATTATAAATCACATATGATACACCAAAGAGAAGGGGGAAGAGGAGAGTCAACTACCTGACAACACATTAACTGAATTCATCTGAAGGATACATGCACAAGGGCCCCTGCCACAAGTAACACATTTGCGAACCACTATCCTCATTGGTGGTTTGGCATTGACAAGACCATGAGCATGTCCGGGACCTTTTCAATTGACCATAAGGATACTGCTGATTAGCTCCTGTTAAGAGCCATAAACCAGAAAATACAGTTGGTGCCACTTCATACCTTTGTGTGACTTCTGCACACAGCTATCAGCAGCTTCGGCATTCTTAACCTAGCAAACAAAACAGACCGAATGTCTTACACCACCACTTAATCGAAACATGGAATTCAGCAGTCATCATGACTGAAATCAGCAGCCAGCTAATAAAAATGGCCAATTTAGCTCGAGTTGAACACGATAATTAATACTTACCTCAATAACCTGGGCACCCAAAGTGCCCCTTTCCGCCTTCTCTTTTGATGGCTTTGAGTTCCTAGATAGAATAGCATTGCGTGGTGGCGGCGTTCTGGGGCAATTCAGTTTCATACAGTTGCTGTCCTTAACCTGCGCACCCAGTAACTTCGCCTTTCCATATTTTGACATTTCATAACTCCATTTATCCTCTAATAAACCCCATCTGGTGACAAAAATTTCACAAAGCTCCAATGCCTGCTGATGCACAGGGTTACTTGGTGGGTTATACAGCATAGCATTGTCAAACGTCAATCTAACATCAGCTGCAAATTCTTCAGTGCTGGCATATGCATTCTTAGACAATTTGGACTTTATGGTCCCAAGATCCATAGGATGGGATATAACGGTGAAATAATCAGGAATCATCAGTTTGACAGGATCCACTGGCTCAGAGAAAACCCAACCATCTGGATGCCCAGTAAGAACTTTCAGAAGAGCCAAGCACTGCTGCTTTACAGTACGATCCATTTTCCTCCTCTTAAACAGACGACCATCTAAATCCATTGATGGGCCACGCTTTTTAGAGCAAGACACACCTATTTTATCATTCTGTGATGTACACACCGGAGAATGAGAAGAAAGATCCGCAGACAACTTTTGTGCAACACTACACGAACTTGCCCCGGAATCAACTTCAACCTTCGGGGTGGAAAATTTTATCTTCAAAATCTTCTTGGTAACAACAGTTTCAGCAGCTCCCATGATGATCAATTGCAGGAACACAGGTGCAGAAAGCAAAGGTTCCCCAATTACATGCACCTTATGAGCCCATCTCCAAAAGGGCCGTGACACTGGAAACTGAAATCATCATGGACGTATGGAAAACCTGCTGGGCGAAAGAACGCCACATCAGAAGGTTTGAATGCAATAATAGCAGGGGGTAACCCAAGTAAAGCACCAGAAAAGTAATCGCAGTTCAACCCCCATAACTCCTTTAGGCTACGGAAAGGACAAACTCTCACCCAGGAACATAAACCCAATTCAACCACGAAGAGCAAGACGAACACATAAACTAGGGTTTCCCTAATGCAAAATCAAACCGCCGAAGGGACGGGAGAATCCTAGTACAGTATCACAAATTCTCAAATCCTAGGAAAACAAGGACGAAAACCTCAGGTGCACAATGGGTACCGCGCAGTATCTAGATCGAATCGAAAACGGGACAGAAAAGAAGCAGTGATTTCGAAAAGAACTGCAAGCAACCGACCAAAGCTATTTCCAAGGAACTTCCCCAAATCGACAAGCTCCATGGGATTCGCAATTCGAATCACACAGATCAAGCTAACCCTAGATGCCCTAGAAAGGAAGTAATTCGAAACAGTACGCAGCGCGATTTCGGGATCTCGGAGGAGACTTACCGTGGCCTTCCGCCAAATCAACAAGCCCTTGAAGACAGATCGAACGAAGCGAATGCCCCTCGAAGAGAGACGCGAGAGATAGACAGTCGTACCGCGACCCGAGCAAGCCAGCTAGCGACGACCTGCCGGCGAGAGAAAGTAGAGAGGGGAGAACGGCGAAGGGTAATGGAGGCGCGAAGGTAGTGGAGAATCAGATACTGGGAAGGCGGAAAAAAAATCTCTCTTTACTGGGACCTTCTCCTTGTTTTCTAGGGTTTAATTCTTAATTTTTAAATATATATATTACGAATTAATTTGGGGAAATTGAAATTGAAAAGGAAAAGGAAGAAAAGTCTCGTTTGTCTGTCTGAAAGCAAATTACCGGCCGACAGCGACCTTTTTCATTGGAGGGTCAGTCCGTCGTCGTGTACGTTTTCTCTGTGCTGTAAAAATAATTAATAAAACAAAGTTTGGCCGCCGTTAATTTTAAAATTACCGCGTTTTTCTCTAAGTCAAATGACTGGTTAGCCCCCCTGGTTGACGGTCAATTGGTCAAGGGCTAACATTTTGATGAGAAGTACTTCAACTTACAGATACCTTTTTTTTTATTATTAATAGGCATACAAGCCCCTCAACTATGGAAAGCTAACAAATGAGCCAAACCGTAGCAAGTGCGGGTGGAGGAAGAAAAAAAACTCATTCCCTGTTCTCTCAATCGTGGGGAGTGGGATCGGAAAGTTCGCCTCGTTGCGACTCGACGTAACTGGCCACTCCGCCCCTGTGCGGCGCCGGAGACGGCCTCATCCGATGGGGCTTTTAAAAGCCCCAGTCAGGGATCCTCGATGCTTATCGCTTCTCTGTTGTTGCGCCCCATCCTTTCGTTCGATTGTGGAGAAACCCTCGATCAGGCAATTCGCTTTTTCATCCATGGTCGGCTGTTGGTGCTCTCCGGAGTGATTTGTCCCTCCTAGGACGAGTAATCGGCGAGGCACCCTCGATTGCAAACCTCCAACACACACTGGGTCGGCTTTGGCAGTGCCATGGTGCGATGTCGATCAGCCCGGTGAGCGATGGTTTGCTGCAATTCATCTTTCCACCGTTGAGGACCGAGACCGAATCCGCAAGCGGTCCCCTTGGTACCTCCCCAAGTTTCTGGTTAACCTTGTTCCTTGGGTGACGGTTACTCCTAAAATCGCTGAACAGTTATGGTGTGTCCCTCTAGGGCTCCATTTCTAGGACGTTCCCTTTGATTGCTGCACCAAGAAGATGGCCATCCTCCTAGGTCAGGCCTTGGGGAGATCATCTTCACCATCGGTCCATCGCATTCCAGAGATGGGGGAGATTTACCTTCGTGCTCAAGTCGGGATTGACGGCCTCTTCCCTCTACCGCTCTCGGTGCATGCCTCCCATGAGAAGGTTGAGCGTGGTGAGTTTGAAGCTGTGGTGAAGTACGAGAGGCTTCCGCAATTCTGCTTCCTCTGTGGCATTTTGGGGCACATCGGCCAGGCGTGTCTACGTCGAGAGGAACTTGTTGGTGCAGATCCAGTATGTGGGAGGCACATTTTGGTCCAATTCAAGGGTCCCAAAGTCAATGAGCCGACGCTACTGCGCAAGAAGATGTTCACCTGGGTTCGCAAGGAGGAGAGTGGTTCCTAAGGTGCCAAATGCGGAATTTATGAAGCAAATGCGGCCTATAGGATTGTATCAGGTATTCTATAAAGTCATCGCCAAAGTTTTGGCAGGTCGGTTGAACCAAATTTTGCCGAATGTTATCAGTGAGGCCCATAATGGATTTGTTAAAGGCAAGGACATCTCGGATAATATCCTCATAGCTCAAGAGGTCATGCAATTTCTCAAGACAAAAACTCAGGGTCGAGATAAGTGGATGGTTGTGAAACTCGATATGGAGAAAGCGTATGATCGAGTTGAATGGGGGTTCTTGTTTGCAGTAATGGAAGCGTTGGGCTTTGATAGGCAGTGGATTAAGTGGATGAAAGCTTGTGTGACTTCAGTTTCCTTTTCTCTGATTCTGAATGGTACAGAGCATGGCTACTTTCGACCTCATCGTGGCATTCGTCAAGGAGATCCCTTGTCTCCCCTGCTGTATGCCATATACACCGAAGCTTTTTCCGCTATGATTGATGGTGCCCTCTCCTCGAATCAGCTCCATGAGTTGAAAGTCCACCGTCATGCGCCTACCATCTCTCACTTACTATTTGCCGATGACTCATATCTCTTCTTGCGGGCTTCCTCAATAGAGTGCTCCTCCCTTCTTCATCTCCTCGAGCTGTATGAACAATCAAGTGGAGCAAAGGTTAATCTCTCCAAATCTTCAGTTTACTTCAGCTCTAATGTCACTGATAAGGAAGCTTCCTTGTTGGCTGGGCAGCTGGGGATCTCTTCTTAAGGACCTCTTGACAAGTACCTCGGGCTACCTGCCCAAGTCCAAAGATTCAAGGTTCTAACTTTTCAGTATGTAGAAGATGCTCTTGCAGGTCGAATTCGAAGTCCAAGGCCTTGTCTCGCAGCTAAAGAAGTGATGATTAAGGCAGTGGGGTCGGCTACTCCGGTGTATACGATGTTATCTTTCAGGCTGCCCTCCACAAGTTGTCGACGATTGAATAGCCAGGTGTCCCGGTTCTGGTGGGCGGGGCAAGACAAAGAGAGGGGGATCCCCCTGGATATCTTGGCCGGTGGTCTGTACGAGAATTTGAAGGAGGACTCAGCTTCAAAGACTTTGATCTGTTTAACGTCGCTATGCTTGCCAAACAGGCGTGGAAACTATTTCAAGATCCCGCATCCACTTTGGCTGGTATTTATAAAGCAAGATATCATCACAACACGTCTTTTCTCAAGGCGCCAATTGGTGATCGCCCTTCCTGGGCATGGCAGGGAATTCTTGAAGGGCGGAAATTGCTAGTTAAGGGTCTTCAATGGCAGGTTGGGTGTGGGGACAATCATTGACATTCTTCAGGATCCATAGATACCTTCATCACCGTCGTCCTCCCTGAAGCTGCTGGATGGTGTTATTCTCTCGAATCCCTATGTGGCATCCCTTATTCATCCGATGACAAGAACCTGGAATCTTGACCTTCTCTGCAGCCTCTTCCACATGGACAGTGTAAAGTGTATTCTTACCATTCCGCTGTCATCCTCTCCCCTACCGGACAGGCTAATCTGACATTTTTTGTCATCCGGGCTCTACACCGTCAAAATAGGATATCAGATCTTGTCGGTGGCGCGATCGGCATCCTTTGCACCCATCTCTCCTCTTTTGGATACCAAGTTTTGGATGCTCCGGTGGAATCTCCCCGTTCCTCCGAAACTGAAATTCTTTTTATGGAGGCTAGTACGCGGGTTTCTCCCGTTGCGAGCTGTGCTGAAACAGAAAACTTTATGTACTAATGATACTTGCCTTGTTTGTTCGGAGGCTACTGAGTCAATATCCCATTGTTTTTTCAATTGCAGGATAGCACGTAGCGTGTGGGATCTCGCCGGGAAGGATCTGATTCGCCAGGCAATTTGTCTTCTTTCTCCAGATGTTGCTTGGCATCACATCTTCTTTGCTTTGTAGCTATCTAAAGTACAGATCGTGGAGCTCGTTTTCCTCTCTTGGCGACTGTGGAAAGACAGGTGTTGGACCACCTATTATCATGTCCAATACTTACCCACAACACTACATCGCCAGTTCTCTTCTCAAGTCAACGAGTGGCGTGAAGCAACAGGGAATCCAGATACTAATTGCCATGCAGGTCGACGGAGCTTTCCGAAAAGAAGTTGGCGGTAGCACAAGATTCGTGGCCTTTGCTGATGACTCATCGCTTGTCTGTGCGTATGGAAAGTTTTATACATGTTTGGCTGACCCTTTTGTTTCCGAGCTTCTTGCCCTCCGTGACGCAATGCTATGGTGTTTGAATCATGGTTTCTATAATGTTTGTTTCTGTGGTGATTCGCACCTTGTTATCCGGCGGGCAATGCAGAACTATGTTCATTACGAGTCTGGTGGGGCGATCGTGGAGGAAGTCTGGCTCCTAAAGTCAAGCTTTCAGTTCCGTAGGACTAACAGGGCTGCCCATTTAGTGGCAAAAACGGCCCTTGCATCGGTAGCTCTACAATCGGTCGACTACCGTTATTTACTTTTTACCCATTTGTAATCAACTATCTATCTATGGCAGAAAAAAAAAACAAATGAGCCCTTGTACTATACTTCTCACGAAAGAAGCCCTTGTACTATAGTTCGATAACAAATAAGCCCTTCTATTAACATTCTCTGACCGAACTCTACTTCTAAACCACTTATATTGTGTGTTGTCAATAGTAAGTAGCACACTAGTACTTTTAAATTTACTGTTAGCACAACCGCATACTTTTCATTACAAAGATCATGAATTATTACATAAAGTTCTTTTCTTGGACTTCTGTCACAACCTTGGATTTAACCAATTTGTACTCAAGAACTTGAACCGAAAGAACACTTTCGTTGCCACCCCTTGAAATCTACACCAAAAATTATGTTGGGTGGGCAATTGGACTGGTCATGCAAACCCAACAACTTCGATGTAATCGATTCGGTTTTGGGTGGTTTGACCTAAATTATAGCCAAATTGGTAAGGTCCAAAAAATCCAATCAAATATTTTGCAAAAAGCCAAAGCCAAGTGAGCAATAACATCACCAGTGACAGAGTCAACATTTCAAACCACCATGTCCTTTTTCATAATATAAATATATAAATATTTATTTAAAATTAATTATATATGCATAATTCATTCATAAATTAAAAATAACCGACTATACAATAATTGTTTTTAACAACCACGGAGAGCTTTCATATTGTGAAAGAAACGCAAAAACATTCGTCGTCTACACTATTAAATGAGTCTTTTTCAATGTATCTCACTAAACTAGCATTAGCATATTGGTCGCCAAATCGACTTGGAAACTTGTTCTTAATATAACTCAAAGCTGAAAATGCTCTTTTTACATTTGCAGTTGTAATTCGTAGAATCAAAACTTGTTCTTAATATAACTCAAAGCTGAAAATGCTATTTATTGCAATTAGAATTCGTTTATAGTATAATAAATTAATTTTATGTCAATTTATGAATAAGTAATGAGTTGTGCTGTAGTGACAAAAATACTCTAATACTACTTATATGCGTTGTTTTACATCATATGACAATTTTGTTTCTTAGAAATTTATAGGCCTCCCTCCGCCTATGAACATCACAAGGACTAACTTCTTATCATTCTCTTACTAGAGATAGTGGACTACTTCATACATTATCCACTTTCACTTTCTCATTTCACCAATGCAGTAGGAATGACTTTCCACCTTCCATTCCATCCATCTCCATTCACACACAAAATCCCAACATATAGTATCAACTCTTTGCATTTCATATAAAATTATACGGCAACAAGATGTGCACATGTAAAGAATTTATCATTCTTTAGACAGGACAAGGAAGGAGAAAATTCATATGGTTTCAAAATCACAAATCTTCATGGACATGGTGCAGACGGTAGCAGAAAGCCATTGTGCAGGCATATATGCAATTGACTACGGCTGTATACAATACACTACTGACATCTTGGTCGTTGGAATGTACATAACTAATTTGCTTGGGTGAATCGGAAAAAAAGAACATGGTTGCTGGAGGAAGTAAGAAGATGACAGCAGAAAGTTGCAGCTGATACAACTGAAGCGATAAAAACTGCTTTGCCTCGGGCAGATATCTCTGGTTTTCTTTCTTCTGCGGCAAGTTTTGACACAACTTCTTCGATGTTTTGCTATCGATAAACTGTCAAAAACAATCTAGTCTACCTTCCAACACTCAATTCAGGTCCTCACTCTCCATGCCAATGAAATATTGGCAAAACATGAACACACACCCTGCACATTCAAAGAAGTTATGATTAATGACGCAAGATGTTAATGGTGATTGATTACGATGTTCTATAACTACCAAGCAACTAGAACACACGATCAGCTTTTAGATCCAGCGATTCTATCATGAATGCCCAAGTTCACGCCTCTTGGGAAAAAAAGAAGACGAAGACTGTTTGTATGACCAGCAAAGTCCGGAGTAACTTTACCATTTCACCGCAAGCTGATATCGTTTCATGCATATGCTAGCAAGGGTTCTCTTGAGCTATCGTCATACTTGCTGCTGTAGTGATAGTATAATGCCAATTGAACTACCCCCAGAATTGTTCCAATTCCATTCGGTACCTGCATTAAGAGAGATGCCCAAAAATAACATTCGTCAGCATGATGCATAAAACCTGCAATGGGCTTGTAAGTTCTATCAGTCGGTATTGAATTGGCCATGTTGAACAGAACAAACCAGATGGTACTTTATAGACGTGATATGCAAGCTGAGGAAAGGAACTTTGAATAATGTCATCCAAGAGTGGAATTGTCCCATCACAAATATATGTTTGTCTATGTGTGCGTATTTTCATGAAGATTGGAGTAAACAAATGAAGAAAAAGGGTCACTTACAGATATGAAACCATCACCCTTAAGCATGCCATAAGCAAAAAATGAGAGACTCATCAAGAAGGTAGCAAGCGAGAGGAAGAACGGCATATATTCGACACTCCTAGTCTTCACCACCAGATTCTGTCCCCAAAGATAACCATCAAAACTGTTAGATTGACGTGAATGAACCCAAACATCTTAAAGCAAATGGAGTCAGAATGCAGAGATATTCAGCTTACAATAATAAAAAGTGGGGAAGCAAACATGGATATCAGAGAGAACACACTCAGATATCCAATGAACAACTGCCGAGTGTGCGAATCCAGGAATCTCAAGCTCACAAAGGCGATACCAGCAAATAATGCAAACACCAGAACAAGCAGTACAGACATCTTGAGCTGCAGCAGACATTCAAACAACAGTTAAGTCAGTAGGACGAACAACCACACCATTTCAACACAACATGAAGAGGGAAGCAGGATATCCATTTACCTTCTTAGATTTATCAGCATAGGCAATGAAGATAGCGATGTAGATGAACTGGAAGACCGCCCCAATCGAATTGACAGTGGCAACCAGAATGATGTTGGGAGAGATGAATGGCATCCCATACCAAAGGCAGATCAAGCAGTTCAAAAGGGAATATATGTAAGGCAACCCAGAGAACTGCTCCGTTGACTGGTTTCTGATAATTCTCCTGAACGTTGGTCTGTAAATAACAAACAGCAAACATTCAGAAATCATCCACAAACCTCAACCTTATGATCTAAACCCCACAACAACAAAAGGATTGCCAGAAGAACTTACATGGGTGACACGAATAATACAAAAGCACATAGATTTCCTGCAAGCAAGGAAGAAAACAACAAACTTTGAGTTCAAAATCCAATCAATTTTCCCAGAACATAAATCTCTCTTTCTGCAGAAGGGGGAAACTAAAATGCAGATATCAATGCCAAATTTCCCCCATCCTTTCTTTCTCCGGCGACCCTTTGCTTGTGAAGGAAACCCGAGTTCCAAAACCCAAAATTCAGCATAATCTCAAGGAGATTGATTGAAAGGGTTTGACCATCAAAACGACCAAAATTCAAAGGCTGGAAACCATTGATGAAGGGGAAGAAGAGGAGGAGGCTTACCGGCGATTCCAGCGGACTCGCTGCAAACAGAGTAAATAGAAGACAACCCAGCTAAGATCGCCGCCATGCCTGACATTGAATTTGTTGGGTTTCAGTCTCCGGCCGCCAATTCCCTTTCTTGCGCTCTGGCGGTAGGCGTGAGCTTTGCTTGGACGTTTTCACTGTGCATTGCAATAATGGTACCTTACGCCTCTATTTATTTGAAACACAAAATAATACCAAAAAAAAAAACACAAAATAATAATTGAAACCCACTAATCAAAATTATGTAATAAAAATTGCGTAATAATAAATAACTTTCAGTTGTCTCACAAGTCAAATCACAGCCGTGTTACGGAATTAGGAAGGAATATCCTGCTAAAAAAATCAAGCCTAAATCTCTCCCGCCCTGTGCCTAGTCGGGCCCTGCAAAGCAATAATTAAGAACTAATAAAATACTAAGAGGATCAACCACCTTAACCTCTTTGTTAATCTCATAATAATAAATTAATTACTCCTTTTCCAGCTAGTCTTATCCACAGACCACAATGTAAGTGTTCATATATATTTTTATTTTTATTTATGAAATCTTATCCATTTAAGTCCATTTGAACATTTGATTGAGATTGTCACGCTCATTTACCTCAACGTGTAACAAGAGTACGTTGAATCGTTGATATGTTATCTTATTATATGATAGACAATTTTTATCACCTCATAAAAACTTTCTATTCATAACTTTCTTGCATATTAGCTATAATTTTGATTGGATCAAAATTGATTCACCAAAATTAATTAATGAATAAAATCTCAAACACGCTTGTTTTATTATTATTATTTTATGATGGTAAAAGTTGAAATACGCATAGAGTATACTAGCTTTTTACCCGGCCCGTTGGCCGGAGAGATTTATTTTATAATTTATATGTTTAAATCATTTTGGATCTTCTAAATATTTTGTAATAGAGTTTGTAGTATGCCTATATTGAAATTTCCAATATTTAGCACACTCACTTGTGATGCTTCGGTTTTCGAATCATAAATTATGCCGCTGTCATGTCCCGTTTAGAACTTATGTCAAAATTTGTCAACCAAAACACTAATATTTAGCGTATGCCAACCTAAACCACACACACATATATATAGTTCAAGCTAGCGTGCGCCAGGAGTACGTATACTCTTGCGTTCATACTACCATACGACCATTGAGTTTTACTATTTAGACCCGAATTAACCGGATTTTTTTGGGGCATTATACTATACCCTAACCTCTAATAGGTGAACTCTAGTCCATAATTCTGTAACCTCTAATTTATGCACATACTTCGTAATACCTATCTTCTATCGTATCTTGAGTTAAATAAAAAGTATAGTATACCTTGATATTACATATACATGTATATATATGTGTGTGTATGTATATTACACTCAAAATTATCTAGAGATCTCGCTTTTACCCCCATAACGCCAGAGAACCATTGGGTTGTCTATTGTTCGATATATAATATATAAAAAGGTAGGGATGACGGGATCATAGCTCGATATGGTTTTATTATGTTCATCTTATCATAGGTTATGTTCTTTTTTGCTTTTCTTTGGCTTCTTTTTCCTTCTACTTTAGCACCTATGGTTGTGATCAGAGGTATTTAACCCTCGAAAGGGATTGGGATTTTAGGTCCTTTGGAAATCCAATACACATTCATGATCCTCGAGTTTGGACGAACTCTCGACCAATGTTGTAAAAATTACGACTTTTTAGTGAGAAATTCTTAGTAAAGATACTTCATTATTGGATTTATTCATCTATATTGAAACTTGACACACACTGTAGCCCTCATGATGACTAAATTCTCTAATCTCGACTCATTTCCATTTTGGATGTTTGTTTTTTTTATCCAGACACTTAAATTTAGTATATTATATAATATGTATCCATTGTTAATTTTTGAAGTTTATACTAAACCTCAACCGATGGTCATTGTTTATATGTTGACTTAGAATCTCAATCTAAGGCATTCACACACACTATCGAGGATTTTTGGTCTTAACATGGTCGTTGAATGTGTAATTTTCAAAAAATTTATCGCTTATATATTAATAATTGATAAAGAGTGTCTCCAATACACACATATTTTAAGTGCATTTAAAATGTCTTATCATTTGAACAATATCAGTGTATTTCATTTGATTATTTGCATTAACTTATTATCTTATACAACATATATTAATTCGTTTTTCTCGAGTCTAGACGAACTGAAAACCAATTTTGAGAGTTGAGATTATTGGATAAAGATACTTGATTGCTGGATAAATATGTTTATCCCAATTGACGATCTTACTAAAAATTGCCAACCTTTATTTGGTAAATGCCTATGTTACTAGTTGATGAAACGTGATGTTTATCGTAGATTCTGAACAAAGATTTTTCTAATCTTCACATCTATTATTTTTCAAGGAATCTTGTGTCTCATCCTAGGGTATGAATTCAAAGTTCATCAACAATCATACTTAAGTCATTTTGAAAATTGTGATTTATAATCGTCGAAGATAACTCAAAGTCTGAAAGAAAATTTCTTAGCATACGACTTAGGTCACATTATCAAATTATTGCACATGCGATTCCTCTTCATTTGAGGAATTTAAGGTAGAAAATGATCTGAATGAATAAGAATTTTTTTTAAATAAATAACTGTAACTACTCGATCAAGATTATACTATGACATTTTGCTAAATAATACTGTTTTATTTTATAGATATATATTGTACGAATAAGATAGTGTTTCATTGCAACAAAATATAAAGTAATTTAGTTTATTTTTCAAAAGTAATTGAATGATAAATATTTATTTTCTCTCTTTTCATATATATTTTGGTTTAATCGATTAAAACATAATTGTTTATGTGTATGTTTGTTTATTTTTTCATCAAAATGTAACTTATCATTGAATTTTAGTAAAAATCAGTAGAAAATTTATTTCATAAGGTTTAATCAGATGTTTTTTATTTAAATAAATGTGATATATGTCACTCTCTTTTTTCTTATTTATATTTTGTTTATTAAAAAATTTTATTATTTATGTGTGTTTGGTTAAGTTTATCATCATGTACCTTATTATTAAAGACAAAAAAGAATAAATGGATAAATAAAAAAGAATAATTGGATAAAAGAAATGGAAATATTAAAGAAGAGAGATGTAGCTCCATAAATACATTAATAACTAATTTTTTGTTTGTAAAAAAGTGGTCCAACTTGGCAAATTGTGGATCCTCCAAGTGCTTATGTGGCAAGAAATTTTTTTTGAATTGCCATAATAGATAGATAGATAGATTATTTTCAACTATATTTTCCCAATCCACCTGAATTAGATTAGCATAACTTTCCTATCAAGCTAATTGATAAGTTTCGTTTCCCATACAAATTCTCCAACCTAAGCTTGGAAAGTTGGAATAATTTTCGTCCATGTCACTAAATCATGACAATACACCCCATTAAATTATTAACCGATAAAAAATAAGAAATTAGTAGGGATGGCAAAAATATCTGTAATCATTGATATCCGCTCGAATCCGACCTAATCGGGTAGGGTAGAACCTGAACCCGAAGGACATTTAGTGGGTATGGGTAAAATCCGAACCCGAATATTGCGGGTAATGGGTGGGCATGAGTTTCTCACTATCCAACCCGAACCCGCCCGATTATACACATGCATATGTATTCTGTCTAGAAATAATCATTTTTTCACTAACATATTTTATATTTAGCATATAAATATAATATTTTCATGAAATTGTGTTGTTTTAATTAATTTTCTTCATTGTAGTGAATTATTGTCGTACTTTCTTCTTACGTAATGTGAGAATACGTGTGAATGTTAACATATTGGTTATAGTTATGAAGAAAAATCATTACCCATGGATAACCGCAGATACCCGAAACCCGAACGGATATGAGCATGGTTTTAATTTTCTACCCGCTTCACATGTGGGTATGGGTAAAATCCGAACTACTTTGAATAGGATAATGGATATGCACTATCCGTCCTCGACCCGACTGCCATCTTTTTAGGAACCCTATTTATAAAAATCGTTGTTCTTATTATTGTTGATTTATTTATTAAATTTCTCTTGTCGTCCTTTCCTTTTCTGTGTTAGTTTTTTTGGATGGATTTTATTGGAAATTGTGGGTTTCTCTGGACAGGAAGAAGGCAACGAGACGAGAGAGCAATGTGTGGCTGTCTTCAAGATGGGATGTGAGTTGTGTGCCAGTCCAAGCGGAGGTGGGGCCCAAAATGAAATGGGCCGCTTGAACATATTGTTGTAAAACCGATGTTTATTCTTTGTCAAAATGGGCCCCACGCGTCCAACCCAGCACCAAAAGCCCAGGTCAGTTCATCAAGTTGTAGAAAGCGCAAAGAAATTGTCACATGCCTTATTTTGTTTTTGTCCCATCATCTCAACTCGCCTTCTCTACTCCATGCTAGAGGAGAATTGCAAATTTCTTAACCTGTTTAAGGCTTTGAGCTGCCTTTTTTTTGTCGGGTTGTTAATAATGCGAGTAGAAAATATAGACACGTTTTGTGTATATATAATATAATTAACCTTTGACGTGTAAGTCCAGGTCCAACAGTCTACTAATGTGTGGCGTGGGGCACAAGACTTTGAATCTTTGATGAAATGGGGGAAAGTTAGAAAGTATTTCATGCTAAATTATGTGTGTGATGATGACCAATTCATCATGTATTCGAGGGACCCCATTACTAGCAAGGGTCTGAACTAGTCGTAATACACTCGTTTTGAAACTGTAGGTCTCAAGTTCGATTTTCTTAGGTAGAATTTAACTAAAAAATCAACATATGTCACCTTATTTAAAAAATAACAATGGGCTTCTGATAGGCATGTGCAAAAAATCAAATTAATGGGTTGGCGTTTCATTTGAGGGGGTTTCTAAGACAATGATATAAGATTCATTTTGAAACATCTCCCAATAAATCGAGTTATTATAATCAAATGGTTCTTTTACATTAACCTTATATCGATTAATTCAGTGATGAGGATGTCAAGATATAAATCATGGGCTTGATTGTTGGGACCTTCAAGTATACGAGCTTACTATGCGATAATCAAATTTACGAGCTTTCATGATGAACCATGACTTATAAGTGTGAGAACACTCATGATGAGACGACGTACTATAACCAGCCCGAAATATGGGTCTAGCTTATTAAGAATTTCCAGAAAAAACCCACCTGAAGATATGCTTGAGGAGACAAGAGCATACGGTATATGTGAGGAGTACATCTCAAGTTATTTTACCCTCAATGCAAAGAGTACAAATATACTAGCTTCCTTAGTTTGATGTAGTGCTTTATATTTCATTGTCCTTCTGTTCACTCTCATGCCTGATCCTAAAAGGATTTTGAAGAGTAAAAGTAGAGGATAAAGTTATCATCGTGTTCATTCAACGGCCACGAGCGCTTTGCGTCTCGATCCAATCACACAATGCTTGTTGGCACGTGTTATGGTGTTTGTTTATGTATTTTTAGTGTTTATTCACGTGATTTAATATTTATATACATAATACGGATGATTGTTAATGTGTGTACGCAAGTAGGCAACCATAATGTTTATTGCAAATGTTGTTATTATTATTATTATTATTATTATTATTATTATTATTATTATTATTATTATTATTATTATTATTACTCGGAGCTAGATTGCTAGAGGAGATCTGCAAATTTCTTAACCTGTTTAAGTCTTTGAGCTGCCTTTTTTGTCAAGGTTGTTAATGATTCGAGAAGAAAATATAGACACGTTTTTATTTATATAATTAACTTTTGATGTGTAATTAAGTCCAGGCCCAGTGACTCACATGAAACTACACCGTGAATAAATCCCGACTAGAGTCCAAGTTTTTAAACTCTAGCCGGATGCAGTATAGGGCAAGTATTTAAATTGTCGACTCGGACCGGTCCATGTACCCCTACTTCAGTCGCTTAAGTTGTTATCTAGCAAAATGGTTTTGGGTTTAAAACTAAGAAAACTACAAACTAAACAAGCAAGGAAAGTAAATGGAGGAGAATTCTACTCGAGAGGACTTCACCCGGGTATTGCTCCCCCTAGTCTCATGCTAAGAAGTGACAAACAAAGCTCTAGTGTGAAGGACGTGTTCATACACCGCGAGGTGGGTGCAACTAGCTAGGGACAAACTCCCTTAGTCAATCAATGAAGGAAGATCAACAAATATAAGCTAGGAGAACTAGCTCTCTTAACCGTTAGGTTAAGGATTGTGATTCATAGCTAGGGAACCTAGCCCTCTTCACCGATCAACCAAGGAGATCCCTAACTCTCTTAGTTAGCTAATTGAAAATCGTTGCAACAAGTTAGAAAGCTAACTCACTTAACCTTTCGGCTAAGGGTGACAACGATAGGCTAGGAAACCTAACCCTCTCGACTAGCCGACTAAGGATTGCAAACCAAACCCTCGGAACTTAATCCGGTCGGCGGAGAGACCAATCCTGGTGGAATCACGACCCTACTCCGATACTTGAGATTTTGGTCTTAAATCGATCTAAAGGAGGTTACCCAAGTGGCTAGGAAGTCTAGCTTCCTATTGGACCAAAAGGGGATTTCCACCCTCTAGGTCAATTTTACCCAATATTGAGTTAAAGCTAGCACACTCAATCATTCATGAATAATACCTCAAATATCATATAAAACACTCAATCAACACAATAGGTTCATGTTCTTACATCCTAACACATAGAGAGACTAGGATTCACAATACCCAAGTAAGTAGGTTGGCTATTCCATAGATAGACAAGAGAAAACAACAAATGGGAAGAAAGAACCATAAAGTGATGCCAATCTCTCCTCGTTGCTTGAGACACCCTTGAGATGAAGAAATCTTCAATCCTCTAGCTAGGAACAAGACCAAAGCTCCTTCCTCCTCCTTTGATTTGAACTTTCTCACTCTAGAAGAAACCCTAACCTCTCACTAGAATCCTCTTTATTTTGAAAAAGGAAGCTCCCCCTCTTCTTCCTATCAGCTCTCCATTTATACTGAGATCGCGCCCAGTTCACGGTCGTGAACACCTAAACGCGTCTGTGAACTTAGTGTCGTGGCCAAAACGCACTGCTTCACTTCCCGGGGTTCACGGTTTGTGCTCAAAGTTCACGGTCTTAGCGATCGTGAACTGCCTTGTCGTCAGTAACCTCTGGAACTCCCCCGGACGCCTCGCTTTTCATGGTTTGTTGTTCCAGTACACGGTCCTAGCGGCCATGAACTCGCAGTTTTGACCGTGAACTGCCGCTGGTTCCTAGATGCTTGCGCTTCACTGTCATGGGGGCAATTGTCACGGTCAATTTGGACTTTTCTCCAGTTTTTGTGCTTTTTGACCTCCAATCTTCCTGAAACTCGTCCTCGACCCTATGCTTGACATGCTATAACCAGTCGTATGTTTCAGTATACAATAGCCTATGGTCTATGTGAGGAGTACATCTTAAATTATCTTAACCTCAATATAGAGAGTACAAATATAATAGCTTCCTTAGTTTGATCTTAAAAAGATTTGGAAGAGTAAAACAGAGGAATTTTTTTTTATCATTGTGTTCATTCAACGGCCACGAGCGCTTTGCGCCTCGATCTAGTGGCACAGTGTCTGTTAGCACATGCTAGTAGGCTATGATGTTAGCACCATAGTCGGGTTTCAGTTGGCCGACCCAAGTCGTTTGGCCTCCTTACCGAGCCCATCTAGTAGCCGCCCAACCTCCATAATTGTGTCTCGTTCTACAATTTCAAATAAGTTGTCTCACAAACCATTTCGACAACCACAACAAGGAGCTGTTAAGTTCCATTTCGCAAAGACCGAATCCAATCACTTGAAACTCTTGTATCTATGTTGACCATGGATCCCCATCTCGTCTGGCCGTTGTTGTAAGAAATCCTCCTCATGCATTTCTCACAACCACTTCAAGTCCAATCCCTTTCCTAGTCAAGTCCGCCCCATCCACATTTAGCTAGTGTTAAAAATCGTACCCAATCGTCCGGACGGATCGAAAATACCAGGTACTTGCCCAAGACAATAAACAATTTTAGAATGATTTAGTCATATTTAAATCACGATTTTATTACAAAATATCATATCGCTTATTTTTTCGGTATAATCTCGGAACTATTTCACAATCTCCATCCCGTCGGCGACCTATTAGCAAACAAACTTGAAGAAAAATGATATTCAGACTAATTACTGGTATTCTTAGAAAAAATTAAAAAACAACAACTAATTACTGGCGAAAAGAAAAAGAAAAAGGATTTGGTGGCCAAATTTTCCCGCCAAACTTTACTAGCCTAGGGGGAAAGAAATGGGGGCGATTCTAGGGATTCGGAAAAGCCCTGGAATCCAATCGGCATCCCATTACCACAGCTCCTGGGGTCGACGGAAGCAAATAAATTCCCTCGATCAGAAAATGACTGCTCACCAGATTGGTTAAGGTCGAAGGACGAGGAAGAAGGAAAAGAGAGCGAATCAAAGAAATGGGGATACAGGGGCTTTTGCCCCTTTTGAAGTCGACGATGCAGCCAATCCACATCAAAGACTTACAGGGCTGTTGCGTTGCTGTTGATACCTACTCTTGGCTTCACAAAGGCGCCTTGTCCTGCAGCACGGACCTCTGCAAAGGGCGACCCACCTCCAGGTCTTTTTACTTCCCTCTACAGAACCCAGTCTTCATTTCGCTGATTTCGTTTCCTTCTATTGGGTATTTTATTTGCCTTCGTGTTGTGGGAGAAATTGCCAGTGAGGTTTCAAATGGGTAAACTCTGAATGTGTATCGCTTACTCCAATTTGTCGCATTTGAATTGCCAATTGTTGATGTATCTATTATTTGTTTCCTTGGTGTTAGGCACATTGAGTATTGCATGCACAGGGTGAATTTGCTGCGGCACTATGGTGTTAAACCTGTTCTCGTCTTTGATGGAGGTTTTCTGCCGATGAAGCTTGAACAAGAAAACAAGCGAGCAAGGTAGTATCTGTAATTGCTGTAATTCGTCAGATGTCGATGTGGGTTCTTTTGATTGTTGTCTGTGATTTAATCAAGAAGCTGTCTTGAGGTCTGCGTTTATCCGGAGCTTGCTGATGTTAGCTGCTAGAGAACTGGTTAAGCATGGGCATTGAAATAAGGTGACATTTGTTACTTCATGTATCCTTACGATTGCAGGTCAAGAAAGGAAAACCTTGCTCGTGCAATTGAGCATGAGGCTAATGGAAATTCTACTGCAGCATATGAGTGCTACCAGAAGGCTGTTGATATATCGCCTTCAATTGCGCATGACCTAATCCAGGTAGAAATAAGAAAGATGGATTTCTACATGTGTTGCTCTTATTATCTTCTTGCTAGTTGCTTCTATAACTCAGTTATTAACATGATTGCATGTGAAGGTCTTAAAGCAAGAGAATGTATCATATGTTGTGGCTCCTTACGAGGCAGATGCACAAATGACATTTTTGGCAGTAAATAAGCAAGTAGATGCAGTTATAACTGAGGACTCGGATCTTATAGCATTTGGATGTCCTAGAGTGAGTTAACTGGTCACTCATTTTCTTGAACTAATATTTTACTACCACGTCGTCTATTTGTTACCACATAGTCTCAATCTTCGATGGAGCATGCTAATCAGCTTTCAATACAGATCATATTCAAGATGGACAAGTATGGGCAAGGTGTTGAGTTTCAGTATTCCCGGCTTCACAAGAACAGGGAACTATGTTTGGCTGGATTCACTAACCGAATGGTTCTAGAGATGTGCATTCTGAGTGGTTGTGACTATTTGCAGTCACTGCCTGGTATGGGCCTGAAAAGGGCTCATGCATTAGTTTCGAAGTTCAAAAGTTACGAGAAGGTACGTCTTTCAACATCACCACACGCCTGTCAAACTAGATGAACAAAGCTTGTGAACTTTGTACCCCATCCATACATGAAGTAAATCTCATGGTTGTCTTAGATGAAACTTGATAACTAATGCATCTAAATTATTTGTGATTGATGATTCAACTGAAATCAGGTAATCAAGCATTTGAGATATAGCACAGTCACTGTTCCTCCTCTCTACGAAGAATTATTCAGGAAAGCAATATTAACTTTCCAGCATCAAAGGGTGTATGATCCTGTTGCTGAGGATATTGTACATTTGTCTGACATTCCTGAAAGCCAGGATGATGATGCTGACTTTCTTGGCCCATATCCTTTAAATTTCTTATCTTGTTGGCCTATTACTCTGAGTTTATCATACTTGGATAATCATGTTGTCTCGTTTCTGAGTTTATCCTTAATGTGGAAATACACGGATTCCACAAGATGTGGCCAAAGGTATTGCTGCAGGTGATCTGGATCCGTTTACCCAAATGCCATTCCAGGTATTCCATCTCTCCTCCCTCCTTTCTGGTTCTCCATGTTTGTGCCTGCCCAATGTTTCTTCCCTCTTTCTTAATACTAACTGGATACGTTCTACAAAAGCAGGGAAGGATTGCAACTGCTGCAGCTGGGCTTAGTGGAACTTCCAAAGTCAAGACCTCTAAGCCTGAAAGTACAGCACATAAGATTGATCTGCCAGTGCAGAAGAATCTCCTGACTAATTACTTTTGTATCCTTAACAAGTTCTCTATAAACTTTGACCATATATTTGTTGCTTTTAGGGATTATACTATGCCATAAGGTGGTCTTTAAAAAGTCGGTTTCTCACTCCCATCTTTATTACCTGTCCATTACAATGATTACCTTGCTTCTTGGTGACAAGAGTATCCTAGGTGCATATTCATATTATTACCTGCCTTTATGCTTATGTTGTCTAGAGCTAGTTTATATCATGATTTCTTTAACTGTACTGAAAGGCTTTGCGTCTATTGAAGCCAAGAGAAAATTCAAGGCACCTCGGAAGTCACCTACGAGTACAAGTGCATTGGATATGTCTTCCCTAAAAGATTATTGTGATTCTGGCCGAATTAGCTGCTCTTCACCATCTGACCTTAACTCTGAGAAACTGTCTACCATATCTCCTCATGCTATGGTAAGTGGAAGTGAGTGGGCATTCGAACAGTTTCATTTGACTTCCTATTGGCTTCGATTCATTACTTTCACGTCATTAGTTAAGTCCTTGTTTCATTGCAGGTGGAAAGCCAAGGCGAACCCAAGTTTTTTGAACCTCCAAGTTCTGGTAAGGGTGCAACTTCTTGTCATTTGGACAAAGAACTCAATTATATTTCAAGTCTTATTTACACCATTACCATGCACTGATCACAAACAGTACTGGAGAAAGAAAGCATGGGACATATGCCCCTCAAAGCTTTTGGGCAATCACTGAATCAATCTGGTCAAGCGATACTGAAAGAGTGTGATTCCAAGAACTATCAAAGTACAGCCCAAGGAGTGACGCAAGGAGCAGAACGCAGAAAGGTCATTGTCAGGAGTCGTTACTTCCAACATAAACCCATTAACGCAGACAGCCACGGGAGTATTGAAGAGAGAGCTCACGACAGTTACAACGTTTTGAGTGATCTGTCCAAAGGAAAAGGTGTTTTGAGTCTTTCTGCCATGGCAGAGAAAGAAGCCAATGGTGCAGAGAGCAGACAAGAAAGTCTACTAAATGTGGATGTAGACAGTGAGGAGCACAGAATAGAACGCAAAAAGGTCATTGTTCGGAGCCGTTACTTCCAACATAAGCCCATTAACAAGGACAACCAAGATAGTAGCATTGAGAGAGCTCATTGCAATACCAATATTTCCTGTGATCTGTCCAAAGAGGACGATGATCTGAGTCTTTCTGGCATGACTGAGAAGAAGACCGAAGTTGCAGAGAGCAGGCAAGAAAGTATACTAAAAGGGGATGCATACAGTGACAGAGAACAAGATGGTATTGCATTAGAAAGTGCTGGTTTTGGTGAAAATAATACCAATGAAAGCACATTGAAAAGAAAGACCTCTCAGAACGGCAACACGGATAAAGTGAGTAATTTTCTAGCTAATTAAGATACTTCTCTGCATCTTATTGATTTTCTTGTAAACATTTAAAAGAAGTTAAATACATCTCTCTAATGCTTCAGGCCAAGAGAAGATCCACCTACTTCTGCAACAATGCTTCTTCTTCTCCTCCTACTCCTGTGGAACTCGGTGAGTTTCTCACCAAGAACACATTAAATCTCATAAGCTCAATGAAACATTAGTATGACATTTTCCTCAATTCTTCGTCTGTCGACAAGGTGGTGGTTGCTCTTCCTTTGAGACTGATGAAGAGCTCACAGAGAAGGAATCTGGAGGAGGCAAATTCGGAGCCAACATCGAGCATTTGAGCCAATATTCCAAGATAGCAGAGAAGTCAGTGGACAGATTTGCAACGATGCTGTCATCGTTTAGATACTCGTCTTCTGGTTCTCGTGCTAGCGGTCTCCGAGCCCCTCTGAGGGACATCAAGAACACTTGTGCCAGCAGGTAAGAAATTCCGTATGCATTGCTTGGGAATCATTATTATTATATATCAGAGTGACGTAAAAATCTCACCTTGGTGACTACTCTGTGTGTTGGAAGGTCAACAAGTGTTCCCGACTTCACCAAGTTTGCTTATACCCCAAAGAACAAAGGGACTGCTGCTTCATCCAAGAGACGATAAAGTGAACATCGAAGCATGCGGTCACTGTTTGGCTGTTTTTGAGTTTCCATTAGAGATCTGCCGTCACTATTTGAAGATGTTAGACTGCAAATGAGAACAGTTCTATCATTTAGAATAATGCTAAGATAGGTCTGATGTCATTAATACTTGCTCCAATTTGGTAGTAACACAAATGATTCTGTAAACAGAGTACTGCTGCACTCTTAATATTCACAATCTGATAGTTATCCTACAATTTGCCAGGTAGGTACAAACTGAACTTCTGCCTTGTTTTTTATGTTGTCGTACAATTTGTACATCGAAACACCAGTACATCAAAACGTACCAGAAGTTCATAGTAAATGACGACAAAGGAATAAATACGATTGTGAATGATATTCATTCGTTTAAATGCAACATATCATTTTCTTCTCTTAGAGTCAATGTACCATATCCGGATGACTGCAAAAGGCTCATTCAATTGAGTGATAACAAACAAAGGCTCATTAAATACTGGATTGCAGTTTAAAGTAGTCATAGCTGATCTGTTTCCTTAGGTTCGAATTTGATCACACTATAAAAGGATGCACGGTTGCGATTGATTAAGCAAAAACTAGAAAGCATCCAACCATTGAATTGAATCGCAGAGAAAGCATCGGTGGAATTCAGCATGAAGGTGTTTCTGGCAGTAATGGTGGCTTTGCTGCTGATTGCTGCTCCTCTGCCTTCCTGCCACGCCAATAATCCTCACCTGGAGTGTTACGACAAGTGCATCGGAGATTGCCATGCTCCACCACAGGCATGCGAAGATATCTGCTATCGCAAATGCAGGGCATGGACTGTAGATCGAGAATCAAAAACTATGATAAACAAGAGGGAGTAGCTCTCTCAGATCTTTGCACTGAGGTGGTGTCATCTTGTTTCCTAATAATGATGATGGCATAACATATGCAAATAATAAGTCTTTATCCTCGTTTGACTTCCTCTTCAAATCATTATTGATTTTACAATCGACTAAAACTCTTCTCCCTATCGTTCGAGTAACTTCGTTCTTCTACGTTCTAGTTTTCTAAATAAGTCAGATTGATCAAGCAAAGACTAGAAATGCCTTATCCACTGTTGAATCGCAGAGAAAGCATCGTCGGAATTCAACATGAAGGCTAACGTACCATGGATGTTTCTGGCAATAATGCTCTGCTGCTGATTGTTGTTCCTCTGCCTTCCTGCCACACTAGTAATCCTCGCCATCGGAGATTGCCATGGTCCTCTGGAGGCATGTGCAGATATATGCTATCGTGAATACAAGGCATCAACTCTGAACAGAGAGTCGAAAACTATGATAAAGAAGACAGAGTAGCTCTCTCAGATCTTGGGAGTGAGATGGTGTCATCTTGTTTCCTAATAATTATGCATGAGATAATTTGCAAACAATAAAAGTCTTGTCATCATTCTCCTTGTTTGACTTCATCTCCAAAAGTAAAGCATGCAAGAAAAGAGAAAGATCAATTATTACGAAGGAAAAAGTGTGTTTTAGCTATTACTAAGGAAGAAAAAGTGTGGTTTGCCATAGATCTAATTATTGGTAGGCATTGTACTAATACGAGTACTGTGTCCTCAATGTGTGGTAAAGACGCTTTTTATCCTTTAATGTCTATTGACCTTGTAATTATGTTGTTAGTTGCTCACTACATAAGATCAAAAGTCACATGTCATCATAAGTATTCACTGAACTGTATTATTTTGAGTATGATTTGCTTTTAAGACGTGTAAAGTTCAAAATGTGGGGTAATAATATACTATTTTCATACATCTATTATATGACAATTTTTTCACCATTGTACCATATTCTCTAGCCATTTTGATTTATTTTTTTGTTATTATTGTTGTATTTGTTTAAATGTGCATTTGATAGCCGTTATGATTATTTTATTCGTATTTAATGTCTTTTGGGTTGTTTTTGAATATTTTCATATCAATACATCGGATCACCATGTACATGGACCAGACACCTTGACCCATCATCAAAAGTAAAAATATTTATTTGGAGCAGGCCATGGGTTTTGGACGGTCCAACAGGGCAGGCCTCAAAGCCTTGGGACGGTCCATTGTGCTAAAATGGGAGAAGTCCATTTTTCACTTTCCGATTTAGAAGATCGTACCGAAAATCATACCGAAGTTGTTTGTGTGGTAAGATATTTTTGTCATTTTGTGTACGATCGTGGTTAAATTTTTGTATACCAGTAAAATACATTTTTTTTGTAGAAAATGGTTTTTGGTTAAAAAACCGTATCGGCAAAATCAGGATACCTTTTAGGAGTAATATCGGATAGAACCGATATATACCGGATAAAAAATCTGAATGTGCTTAATAGACATGCGTAACATAACAATAAACAAAGTGCAACGTTACAGAATCAACTATATATTTATTTATGGTTAATCAAATATATAATCGTCCAAATGCATGTTTAGAAACCAGTACGAAGTACAAAACGACTAAACAACATTCACAAACCACAAGTTTACAATGACTCAGTTTGACCCTGCCGTAGCTTTTGCAGAAGCAGCTTCTGGCTTGACCTTTTAGAGAAGTACTTTTCAAAAAAAGCATTTGAGTGTTTGGTTGAAAATTTATTAAAAGTGTTTTTTTTAATATGAGAGGTTGTGTAAAATGGCTATAAAAGACTTATAATATAAACTATGAATAATAATTTTAAATAATAAAATATAGTCAAAATGGGTATTGTTAGACTTCTTTTATAATAAATAATATGATTTTATACTTTATTTTATTTTTTAAGTGATATAAATGAAATAAAATTATATTTTCTGAAATAAAATTAAAATATGGTAAAGATAATCTTGTATTTTCAAAACAGCTTTTCGCAGGAGCTCCAAATCGGAGCTTATGCTTTTATGTTATACAAAAGCGCTTTTCGGCTTTTCAAAAGCCGAACTTTTAGAGGTGTTTGGCCCTGCTTTAGCTTTTGAAGCCGAAAAACACTTCTAAAAGTTGGGCCAAACATAGGCAATATCAAACTCAAACTAGCAACTAGCCAACTACTACAACGTTGACAATCATCCTGATACATACAGTCAGGGGCGTGACCAAGATTTTGTCCAGGGTGGGTCCATTTAGAAAAAATACATACGATAAAATAATTTTATTAGCTTTATAAATCATTCCTGATATAATTTGCATTTAAAAAAACTTGGTAAATTAAATATTTGTCGAAATTGTAAAAAATATCGCTCTAAATATATCAAGCAGTTATTCATGATTTAGTTAGACATTTGCTTATGAATTGTGTTCTTTGTCAATACCATTTAGTATCAATAAGTCGAGTGGTTGCGAAAGGTTTAATAATGGATATTATACTATTTAGTATTTACTAACACTTCCCCACTCGAAAACCAACTTATACGTGCTTAAATTTTTCGCCAATTCGAATATAATGTGCTTAACAAATGGAGTTCCCAAGATTCGAATACATGGTCTCTTGGTCAACTATTCTCAATTAGGAGTGCCCTAAATTCCATACTCAATTAACTATTGTCCTAATTTACTCATTTTCATCACTAAAAGCCACCCGTTACTCTCCCTACCCCTGATTGACATAAAATTATGTTTACAAATTAAGCGGATCATATGCACCATTTCATTGTATATAGTTCGTTATAACAAAAAATATGTCAATACACAACTTTGAAAACATACATAAAATTTTTCCTAAACGATTAACTATTATACCGAATTTACCATTATTCCTCCCGGGACCCACCCTCTATCCCTCTCCCTTCGCCCCCTGCATAGAGTGGCATAGCCAGGATTTCGTATAAGGTGGGTCCACCTAGAAAAAATACATATGATGAAATAGTTTTGTTAATATAATCTTAAATTGAAAACTTTGGTAAATTAAAATGCATTAATAGTAAAAAATATCAAGCATATCATTCTGCGTACCAAACAATTATTGATTTAGTTAGTCGTACACTCGTACTGTTTCAAATGTTGTTCTTTGTCAAGAACCGTTAGTATTAATAAATCGAGTTGTTGATAGAGGTTTAATAATAAATCCTACACTAATCAATAATTCATGATTTAGCTTTCGAATAATGTTCTTTGTAAAAAAACATTTAGTATCAACAAATCGAGTTGTTGGAAGAGATTCAATAATATTACGATACCATTTACTAGCATGCTCCCTCATAAGAAAATCGACTTATACGAAATTGAAGTTTGCACAAATATGTATACCGTATTAGATTCAAACACAAAACTACTATTATTAATTAAATATGACCTAATTTTCGATATCAATTAATTATTGAACCTAATTTAACCATTTTCCTCTCGAACCAGGATAGGTCTCGGGACCCACCCTGTTACCCTCTCCCTCCGCCACTGGATAAATACCAAATTATACTGACCCGATTGGATTGTCGGAGAAGAAGCTCGATAGCAAGGGAGAATTTCAGAGGAGAGAAATTATATTTATATTTTGACTAACCCCAAGTAGGGTTTGGCTTTGAAATCACACTCTCTCGAGTAGCTCACGAGAGTCAATTCTGAGAAGAAGGACAACAATCAAGAAGGGCATAAATTTTGTGCTTCTTCCCCTCTCGTATCTATTATATAGAATTTAGGGATGGCAATGGGTCGGGTTGGGGTGAGTTTTGTCAAACCCAAACCCAAACCCATGGGTTTATCCGCCAAAAAAAATCGGGGTAAAACCCGTTGGGTTTGAAAAACTCAAACTCAACCCAACCCGCTGGGTATCCGCGGGTTCATGGGTACCCGTGGGTTTTTGTGGTAAAAAATTTACAATAACAAGTTTCTTTCAAAATAAAAGTTTAACATCAATTTTCTCATACAAATTAATCATACAAAAAAACACCAATCTAGAGCATACAAGCAAACCGCAAATGATCAATACAAATTGTTCAAAATTAAAGATAAACATCTATAAACAAAAGATTAATTACAAGCTTCTTCCTCGTCAACTAAGTTTCTTCACTCTCCACTTCATAATATCAACTTCATTCTAAACAATTAGAAAGAACAAATTATACATGTCTCCATAAACATAAAGAATATTAATTGTTTAAGGAAAATATATTATTTAGAATATTAAATATACCGGGAAAGTAAATATGTGTGTGGGCGGGTACCCATGGGTCGGGTTTACCTAAACCCAAACCCAACCCGACCCGGTGAATAGTGTAGCGGGTTTAAACCCGAACCCGGCCCGAAACCCGTCAACACGGATTTTACCCGCGTTGACCGGATTGGGTCGGGTGGGTACCCGTGGGTTCGGGTTTTGTTGCCATCCCTATATGGATGAGTAACTTAATTTTAGATTATTTGAGTTATGTGGAATTCTAGTTTTCATGGTTTACACTTTACAACTTGTTATTTGATCTATGCGATTGACCTCTTTGTTGGGTTTATCTCGTGTGATTATTCTTTATTCCACTTTTCGTAGTGGTGTATCTTAGATGTGAAGGAAGGTTAGTGGAGTAGAGCAAGGTAGAGTATTCTGGGCTTCCTTTCACCTATAATAAACGAAGAAGAAGACTGGCTCCAAACAGCTTCGACTTGTCTAAGTGGTAGATCCACAAGCAGAAACAGCGCCATATGAGAAAGAAGAAGTTTGTTAGATGTCGTTGTACAGTAATAAGCCACTTGGCATTTTGTCATTGGTTTAAGTTTAGTTACCATTTGTAATTAGACACTTTACTCTTTCGTTTCAGTAGAACAGGGTAGATTCCTTTATAGCTTTCGTCTATGTATAAAGTCTGCAGTAAATGGAATGAAGGCCATCTTGCCAAAATTTCCACAACCTCCTTTGTACTCTCTCTTCTTCCATTTCCCTCAAGAACCCTAATCCATCCCTAGGGTTTTAAAATTTCTCATGGTATCAGAGCCCGGTTAGGCTTCTGATCCTTCTTCTTCTCCTGCTTTCTTCCATCAGCACTAAAACAATACTGCTCTGGTTCAACCTCGTCTCCAACAATGGCAGGCAACCAGAGCTCTGATGGAGGAAAGGCTTTAGCCGCACGATATGAGGATGCGTATTCCAACCCTTTATACCTCGCTACAAGTGATAACTCTTTTCTTCCTGTCATCGGTTTCAAGTTTAACGATGATAATTACCTGCTCTGGAGCGAGTCCATGGAGGTCGCTCTTCGAACCAAAAATAAATGGGGTTTCATCAACGACACAGTCAAGGTACATGATGACCAAGTTCCTTCTCGTAGTACTTGGGAAAGATGTAATGCTACTATTTTGTGTTGGATTCGTAATTCCGTGAATGAGGATATTGTACCCAGTCTTAGAAACATCAGATCTTCTGCTGAAGCTTGGACATATCCGAAATCAAAGTTTAGTCAAGGCAATTCTGTTAGAATTGCAAATTTACAGGAGAAAATTGATCTGCTAAGCAAGGCAATCAGACAGTAATGCAGTACCACACCAACCTGAAGTTGTGCTGGGATGAACAACATCATTATGAACCTATACGATTATGTGATTGTGCTTCTAGAACTTATGAGACTGTGATCAGGCACCAAGAGAGGAGGAGAATTATTCGCTTTCTCCT